TTTTTTTTTTCATTGCCCCGCCCACCCCTGAAGCAAATATTTGCAATTCGGAGGGGAATTGTTCGCTCGGCTTAAAGCTTTAAAAAGTTTGTAATATCGCTGCAGACGAAGTTAGGGCTGCGCAGATCAACTCATCTGTCAGTGGGTTGCCGAGAAAATGCTATGGGGAAGATGCGTGGCTGGTGGCTAAAGTCTAAAGTCTGAAGTCTGGGGGCTCAGGGGCAGACATTTATTAACATGGCTTGGGTGTGGCACAAGACGGGCAGAAGAGGGCAGATGCTGCCAGAAAGGTGTTAAGTGGCAGATTCAGACGACGAGGGGCGAAATGATGATGAAGCGAATCTCACATATCAGCATAAATAAATTTAAGTGTCGAGCGCGGAGGCACAAAGAAATCTCCGTAAATTTCGCTACCATCCGACCGATGTGGCATAAATATAAATTACCCGCGAAGACGGGTATTCCGTTTTTTTTTTTGTTTTTTTAATGATAAAAAATATGGTAAATGTGTGCCAGCGGAACAGACAAAATATTTATGGAAAATATTCGACGCGTGTCCGTTGATTTTTCTGTGCGCTTCAACGCGCGGCTTTTTCATTTTTAATGGCTAATTAAATTGGCAAGCAAAAGGCAGAAGTTAAAGCTGAATTTGTTTGGCCCTAGAATTCAATGGAAAAAGTGGTGGATGGTCAACGATATTTGAACTTTAATTGGAAGAGCTAAGGGCAACAACCGGAGTAGACAAACACAGACTCGGTTATAAAGAAACACACAAATGCAGTGTTGGCCGGGAAACCATTTGGTCCCAGAAACATTTGGTCAAGTTTAATGCGGTCGTTTTTTTGGCAACTTAGTTGGCATGCTCTTTGCTCTTAAATAGCGTTGTGTGAAAAATATAAATTTCAAACCAAAATCGATCTATTTTAGAAGCCTTTATTTAACAAAATTGGTATAAAATTAATTCCAAAAATACACATTTTCCCAATAAATAAAATAAAATAAATATTATGTTGTAAAGTCAATATATGTTCATCCATTCATCAAAGCCTATAATAGTTGGCTGTCCCACTTCCACCAAACCACCGCATCATAACTCGTTCCATCACTGACCCATTTTCAGTTTTTGCCATTTAAGTTTTTGCGTAACGACGAACGCACCTTACTGCGAATTTACCAGAGGCACTTGGCCATCTCTAATAGGAAATGCATTTGGCGATGTTCAAGTAAATTACGTCAGCGGCTTGCCGCACAAACAGTTTTCGAGGGAATGAGTGCCAGCATGGGCTGCTTAAAACACACAACACTACACAGAGAGAAAAACTTGATCAAACATTATAAATATTGGTTTCAAAGTTAAAACTTGGCTTGTGATACTTCGACTAAAATATTGCTTTTTATATCATATTAAAAATATTGTATCAATACAATTATCAAGAAAAATAATAGTAGTTTAAGTTCTATTTGCTTCAGATGTGAGTTATATAATTAGGAAAAATAAGCAAATTGGTAATGAATTTTTCTGTTTCTAATAATTCCTAGTATGTTTTTCTCAGTGTACTGTCTCCCCGGCATTCTGTGCGTTTCACTGTGTGCTCCAAATATGGGAGCAGAGACAAAATGGAATTGCCGTTGTTGTTGCTTCGGCGATTCAATCCGAATCCGATGCGTTGAAAGAGTTGAGTTGAGTTGGCTGGGAACGCGATTCCATACGAATTGGGTCAACTGCCGCGTTTTTGGCTCAAAGAAGAAGAAGAAGAGAGGAAGCAGAATGGGGGGTGGGAAAAAGGGGGAGAGCCTGCCTAACGGTTAATGTTATTGCCGACTTTGCCATTTATCGCCGGCCATTGTTCGCCACAAGCTGAGATTTCCAGCCAACTTTGAGTTTGCGCTTGGTTTTGGCTACTTGCTGTGAACAGAAAGTCAAGCGTTTGACTTGACTTTGCGACCCATTGAAACGAAAGATGGAAAAGAAGAAATCACAAAGCCAGCTCAGAGGAATTAACTTCTTCATTGTGCGTTTGACCCAAGTGCCAAATGCAAATGCAAGCAAATCATCTCTAATTGTGCATCTCTTTGCGAAGAAGTCATCGTTGCACAATAATTGACAAGATATGGTGTTCAATTTATTTATTGCACACAATGCTTGAATGGCCAAATACAACTCAGCTGACAAAAGCAGAAAATCATAAACCCTATGAAAATGCAGTTGACAAATTAAATTAATTTGCTCAAGTGGAAGGGCAAACAATTGAGTGTGATTCACAAAAAGACTGTCCATACAATTCCGGATAAATTAAAGTGAAAGGAAAGCCATTATTTTGGTAGCTTGAATAAATATTTAATTTGTTTAAAATATACCCAGAACTAAAATTATAAAAGGCAATAAAATTTCAAATCGAATTCTGTGATTTACATAAAACTGTCCTTATAATTTACGTTTAAAAGAAAACAACTATTTTGGTAACTTAAATAAATTTTTAAATCATTTTAAATATTTTTAGAACTACAATTTTAAAATTAAATTAAAATTTAAGATTCTAATCAGAAAATAAATATCTTGTTAAAAATTTCTATAATTAAAACTTAAAAAAAAATTAATACTTTAAACCCAATTCAGAGACTAAAAAGAAGTTTCCGTTTAAAGCTTAAAAAATCAACCTAAAAAAGGTTAAATAAATATATAAATCTTGCTAAATCTTTCTTTAATTACAACTTTAAAATAATATTAAAATTGGTTCTTCCCAATTAGTTTCCCAACTCATTTAAAAAGGTATAAAGGAACTCTGCCAAACAATCCAGGCTCAAAAACCGCATAATCAAGTTTTAATTATGCAAAAATTGTTCGCACACACTTCCAGCTTTGGTTTTATCAGACACTTGCATAATTATATAAAGTTTCTCTATGACTTACTTTCCATTTGCCAAATCCTGTTTGATATTAAAAATTCGCTCAAGACAAAGAAACATTTTGAGGCAAACTCAAACAGTGAGGGGAAACTTCAGCAGTTTCTGTTGAAAGTTGAAGAAATGAAAATGACAAGCAGAAGTTCCTGTTCGAGCTCTTTTTGTTTTAGCTGCCAGACATTGTCTTGTTGAGAAATTGCGCATATTTCCGTTTCCGTTTCCTGCAAAAATGCTTATGTGTTTGTGTCTGTCTGGACTTTTTTGCCAACTATTTTTTTTTTTGCGACCTGAGCTGCAGTTTTGGCTGCCCTTCTGTCGCCTGAATAAATTAAAGGTATACATACTGCTATTTTAAACATACGATCCTGGGCATGGCATATAAATGAAACTTTACGAATTTCAATTTGTAATGAAATATTTGCAGTAACCACGAGCTATTCTACCAAAAAATGTATTTATAACTTCTCAACTTTAAACCGGTTGTCGGACAGCATGAAGCTTATAATCTGATGCCAGCAAAAACCAGACACTTTTTAATATTTTTCAATATTTGGCTCAGCATTTGATATTGATGAAATTTAGCTTGCCATTGGTAAAAAATGTGTTATTTTTGATGGCCACACAAATGGGTAAATATATATACATATGTGTGTTGATGGGGCGTTTTTCGATGGGGGGTGTACAGCTTTCAGGCAGTTCAATCAACATAGTTGACATTTGATGTAAAAACCTTTCAAACGCATCTCGCAGATAACCAGGGATTTTCGTTTTTTTTAAGATACTCTACTGGCACAACGGGTGCATTGAATAAATATTAAATTAATAAGACGCATCTTAAAATATATTGTATATATATATAAGGTTTTATGCAAAATAAAAATGAATGGTTCCGTCAGTTGTATCGAACGTATATTTATTTTTACATTTATTAAAGAGTATTCCTTATTGGCGTCTCTTTACCAGTTTATATTTCTTACTTTCTTCTTTATTTGTTTGTAGACTTTGCTATCCGTGTGAAGTTTTACCAATATGTGCCATCCTGTTGACTGACTGCCGACTGATTGCGTATACGCGATGTGACAGTTTGCTGAAAATATGTTGCGTATACGCCCTGTCTACCGCTAGCTACTGTTACTACACTCCCTCCCGAGGAATAGTTAAACTGGATGCTGGAATGTGTGGGCTGTCTGACTGAATCAAACCGTATGTGATTTTTAATTCCACAATTTTTGACATTTGCGTTTGCATTTAAATTAGATTTTACGAGGCCACAAACATTCGAGTACCTACCCATTTGAGGGCTGTCGATTGGATTGCGTTGCAGACATGACAAATGGGATATTCAGTAGTAGTTTTGGGTGCTCTCGAAAAGCCAACCGAAATGTTCTGGCTTTGGGACCATAAATCTGGCAGTTTTCTTACCACCAATTGAAACAATAATTTTGGCCAAATGTCTCAATCGAATTAAGAAGACATTGTCGTGCTGATTGCCCAAGGCTAACCCACTTCTCGTCGATTCGTCTTAATTGCATCATCTTCACCCACAAAAACCCAGTCATTTTGCATCTCAGTTGTTTCACAACAAAAAAGAAAAAAAACGGAAAAAATATAAAAGCAAGCAAAAAAGAAAAACAACAGCAAGCAGCTTCATAAAATTAAACTTAACCGTGTTGATGATGTTCATTAAACGAACGCAATCATAATAACTGCCAGGGCAACCAATATTAAACACAAAATGGTGTAAAAATTAATTAAGCCCTAATAGCTGTGAAGCATTTTTTCGCAGCCACGGAATCTGAGCTTGAGTAAAACGCAATTCGTATTTACCCACACCGACCTGAAAATGCATAACTTTAATCGTTTCTGCAGATTTAATGCGAGTTTGAGTAACCCAATTTAAGCGACCATAATTAATAACATTTTCTTTTATATTCAAGTGATTTTGGCTCACCCTAATAGGTTCCATAACATTTTATATTTTAAATTGGCGATGACAAAGCAAATTGAATTCCTGTTATTTTAAAATAATTTTAAAAGTAGATTTTAGTGTCATATATTTAAAAAAGCAATATAGTTTCATATTTCTCAGTATGTTATACTCCTTAGTCAAGCACTTCAAAAACCAAAGGCTCTGACTATTCCATCAACTCTTTATATACTTTTTTATTCAATTTGACAACCTCGTTCGGTTCGGTTCACATTTTGTTTACTAACAATTTTTCGGTATTGGTCCACATTTGTCAGGTGAAACTGCCACTAAATTCGAGCACTTTTAAACAACTGACATCCTTTCAATAAAATGACGTTTACGTACAAGGAACTAATTGACGTGGCCATTGGCTCCCCGGAATCGGGACATGTCAACTTTTACGCTTTGCATGTGCTGCTCACGTGTTTTGCCCAGCGATTGGAGGTCCTAGATGAGGTCGTCGAACAAGAGGACTACATGGTTGCCAATGTCCGCATGCAAAGCAGTTTATGTGAGTAGAAAGTAGAATTTGCATATTACAAGGTTTCAGGGTTGCACTTTTTAAAGTAATTTTCTAAGCATCGTTTGAAAATAATATGTCCGGATTACTTTTACTAGCTTGTTAAGTATTTATTATGTTAGCACTCCAAATCAAAATAAGAATTAATTCAATATTAAAGTTTATAGCCCCAATACTTTATAATTTCATTTCTATACCGAAGATTCAAAAAAAGTAGTTTAAGGCCATATTTATTTTTGATACTTTCGTCGAATTAATTTAATATTAGTTTAATATTCATGTAACCATAGTTTAGTTTCTATGACCATTTATTTTTTAGCTGTTCATCTAAATAATATTATTGATTGTCTAAATAAAATAAGATGTCTTTTTTAAGATCTTTATGGACTTCACTTCTTATAACCAATTTTTTTTTTATTTTTGTTTTTAGTGACTTTGGGAAACACCTCCAAGTTCCGCCTGTTTGCTGGTGCGGATGCTGAGGAAGGAGCAGCCGCTGAGCCGGCAAGTGAGGCTGCAGCCGAGGAGGCAGCTCCCCCATCAACTCCGCCCGCGGAAGAGGCTCCTGTTCCGGCGACTCCTGCGGCAGAGGAAGCTGCGGCTCCGGAGGAAGCTGCGGCTCCAGAGGAACCAGCTCCCGAGGAACCTGCTCCCGTAGAAACTGTCGCAGCCACGCCAGAAGTAGTGCCCACGCATGAACCAACTCCAGCGCCAACACCTGCCCCCGAGGAACCGGTGGCACCCTCAGCCGGTGCAGAAACCCCAAAGGTACCTACAGAGACGCCACCGGAGCCCAAGATCGAGGAGCTCGGTCCGCCAGCATCAAGGGTGTCCTCGCGATCCTCCACTCGCGACAAGGCACGACAAGATGGTTCGCTGACCAACAATCTCACGCGTCTCGAAAGACGTTTGTCCAAAATGGAATTGCACAGGGAACAGACCACCATAGAGATGAATCAGTTCGTAAGCAATCTCACTGGACAACTAAAAATCACCATGGAGCAGGTGAACAATGTGACCCACATGCTGATCGATCGGAAACCGAATCCGCATAGGGTAAAAGTACTGCGTGACATAGCCAAACAGATGAGGGTGCTGATGGGAACCACAGGCGATGAGGTTTCAGTTAGTTGGTCCAGTGGCGAAATCGTTGAAGCCGAAGGGGAGGAGCTTTCCCTGGAGGAGGTGGCCGAGGAGTCCTCCGCACCCACAGAAGTGGAGAAACCCGAGGAGGAAGAGGAATTGGGTCTAGAACAGCAACTTTGTTATACACCCGAAAAAATGCTAAATGAGTTACTGGATCTTAAGTCCCAATTCTGTGGTTTGACCAACAAAGTCAATGAATTGGCAGCAGCACTCATGAAGCAGGACTCCCAAAGACTCATGGATATGATGAGGGATCTGTCCGAAACAGTGCGCGAAATAAAGCTCTATATGGCCAGTAATAAGGAGGCAACTAGCAGTATGATGACACGTCTTAATGAATGCGTAAATCAAATACAAGTGTTGAAAAAGTCTGCTGCCCACTTGGATGAGGTGAAGATGGACAAGACAGAGGTGGAACTTTTACTGGCCGAAAAGGTGGACTTCCAGCAGCTGGCCACCAAAGTGTCGCTGGAGCAACTCGAGGAATATAAGGCCAGATTGGAGCAGATGTTCTGCGAAGTGCGTCATATTGTAAGCTTAAATGAGAAGAATGTCCTGCAGATAATCGACAATCTGCGTATGACCTTGGGCATTGATGCCTTGGAGCTGAGTCTCAAGGACTTTAGGGAAATGATCGAGAGGAGAGTGCAAATGATAGCCGAGGCATTGCAAAGGTATATGGAGATGACCAATGATGATTGTGCTGCGGCCGCTGGAAGGGTTAAGGTCATGCAGGACTTGGCCTGTCTGGCCTGCGACACCACCTGTGTGATGCGCACAGTGGAACGATCAAAGGTGCCATCCTTGCCGAATGCCAAGGGTTCCGCTGGCCTTGGTCCCATTGTCACCTACGAACTGGGCCAGATCCGCAAGTCCGGCATCATGGGATACTATCGCAAGGACGAGTTCCCGCATTCGACAAGTGCCTGGACCAAAGGCGTTCCCATGGTCAAGTGCACTCCGCGGCATGCTGGCGGAAGTCACACCACCCACACCGCCGATGAACACATGCAGAAGGTCGTGCTCTCCAAGAAAAACACTGGGTGGATATAATTTCATATATCCAAAAATTAAAGACAGTATTTATTTCATTGTTACACATAATAATTTGACAAAATTTAAGACGATGGAGTGTTATGCAAAAAAAAAAGTATAATCAATGCAGAAAAATTTAACTTATGCTTTTGACGGATAAAAATATATAACTGGGTGCTAAAGTGGTTAAGAATTCCATTTATGCTATCAGCATGGTTTATATCTTTAATTAGTGAAACAATTATTAACCAAGTCGCAAAGTCAAAGCAATCAATATTGAAAAATTATTTTCTAAAGCTGATTTTATTTTAATAAATCCACTTTAATTATAAATTACAAGTGGTCCTGTCAATAACACTTTACGAACCTCTTACATATTTAAAACATTAATCCCTTGCCCAAGTAAAAACAATTAATATTCACAGTATGCAATATTCACAATATGCAATATCCACATATCTCATATCCACATATTTTAATCTCAGAACACACAAGTTACACTTCACTTCAATATTCATTGCATCACCGTATAATACTACAAGCGAATTAAATAAAATATGTTGACTGTAAGCGATTTATGTTAATGGACTTTTTGGCCAAGAGCATTAATTTTCAAGTTTCGATGGCTGTGTGCGACACTTTGAAATTACCATTGATTGCACTTTTTAACTGGGAGATTTTAATTGACGCAGTTACCTACAGCTATAGCGTGTAGTGCAAATTCATGGAAATATATTTTAACATATTTATTTTCGTTTTGTGGCTCATTTAAATTTGGCATCGCATTGCAGCATTCGAAGCGTGCTTGTGGCAGCAATTGATAAACAATTTTTATTGTCCTCTGCTTGGGGTGTGAGCCTATTTCTGCTCCTGATTGTGGGCTTACAATGAATGACTTGAATGTACTGTCAGGGCTCGTTTTAATAGGCTAACGATTAAATGCATAAATTTGCCATAAATTGAAACAAGCAAAAAGCTGCAAAACATGACAGGAATAAATATACATATAAATTCCGAAGGCCATCAGCCGGAATATGGAAAAAAGGCAACCGTAAATATGGCAAAAATGTCAGTTACCATTGTTCAAATGTTAACTACAATGGAGAACTTCCTTCGACATAAATTTTAAATTATTCAGCATATTAGTCAGATGCCATTTACATATTTAACATGAATTATTGAATTGAGAATATTTAAACATTATTACTATGATTAAAATGATGAATTTCAAGGTATATAAACACATTTGCAAACTTAATGTATATATATTTTATTAACCATACAAATGTGTAAACAAAGAAGTCAGCATTTAATATTAATTTAAAAAGTAGTACACATTAGCATACGTTTTTAGAATTTTTTGTTAAACTAAATAAACTGCAGCAAACAACTTTCAATTGATGTTTTTTAGTTACTAATATGGTAAAAACAAGTGCTCGGCATTAAAGCCACATAAGTGAACGCTCAAATTAATTAGAGCCGGCAATGTGAAAGAGAGACAACAGCAGCGAAAATGTAATGGAAACAGGTCAGTGCATAAATTGCAAGTAAAACGGGCGAAGCCGGAAGGCGAAAAAAGGCCGAAAGTAAACAGAAACGGACTAAGTTGGCAAAACGTCAGCGATAAAAGCTATTGAAATAACTAAGTGTGACAAAAACATTGCACAGAAAAAAAGAAATATCTTTAAAGATATAAGTGTAAGCTATTGGTGTAGTGTGACCTTATACAGAGACGCAAAGCATGATGCAAGGTCATACTGCGCTTTTATTTCCTTTCAAAGCAAGTTTAACCCTTTTTATAAAAAAAAATCATTGAAAATGGTTATGAAAATTATCATAAACTTTTCTTTGTGCATCGATGACAGGCGACTTAGGCAAAAGCGGCAATAACGTCAACTGCAACTCCATGAATTGTGCAATGGACACCGCAGATGGCCAGAAAAAGGAAAGAAGCAAACAGAGAGGAAAACAAAGACATCGGGCAAATAAATTAAAATGCAAATTTAAACGAAAACGAGTGTAAACAGTAAACACTTCAAATTGGGGTCTGAGTGCAAGGCTAAGACGGAAGTCTCTCGATCTCGACATCTCGTGGAAAGCAAGAGCAAAAGCCAAAAAGCAAGTCGCGGAAATGACCCAAAAAAAAAACCAAGTAGAGACCCAGACACATGATGGGAAGAAGATGCGCCATTGTTGTCGCTCTTCGAAGGTCACACTTGGAGTGGGCGGGAAATCGGGTGGTTTGCCGAGGAAAGTGTTGAGCTTGAGCCAAATTGTTGAGCCAATTTCCACGTCTCACTTACCCCATAACCAACTTCGATTGCGGCACTCTGTTATCTCTGCGCAAATATTCCCAAGGCTTTAAAACTTTGCAGACTCACCTAAAAAGAAAAGAATATATATATGCCGTGATTAATATTAATAGTGGGTAATGGTAACTTTTTGATTTGCCATGGCGAAAAAAGGGCGAAAAACTTTACTTGTGCATGGAAATTATTTATTGCATGTGCGGCTGAGAAACCCGCATTTCCATTCTGCGGTTTTTCGCCCTTTTCCCTCAAAATCAAAAAATAAAAAAGGAGGAACAAGTTTTGCGACAAAATTCCGGCATTTCTAAACAAAGCTCGATAGAAAAGTTTTGTGTAGCTAAATGGTGATAAACAAATAAAAAAGTCAAAGACAAATAATTTGTGCAAAGTGCTTGAAGTCCACAACAGTAAAAAAAAATGTCAAATATTTGTAATGAAGAAGTTTGTTGCAAAGTGGTCACGGAAGTATACAAAATATGTTTTATGAAGGGATGTAAAAAGATATCATTAATGGATTATTGCGATATAACATTGAATGTTGATGAAAAATAAGGGAAAATGATCGCTTTGACTAAATTGTACCATTAGCCGTTATTTAATATATATTTTCATGAATATTTCCTGGCTCAATATTTTTTTTTCTTCATAGTTTTTACAAAAGGTAACGGTTGAGGTAAACATGGACATTTTTAAATTATTTTCAATGCTAAGCGTTTTACGCATTAAATGTTGAAAAAACAAACAACAGTTGAATAAAAGCAAAAACCCAAGGATAAATCAAACCAATCTAATGAACAAAAATTCAATGTTGGGTTGTAAAAAATGTAATCAATATCGCAGCTCAGCAGGGCAGCTTACATAAGCAAACACAAACACTCACAAACTCACATATGCGAAATCGTTTCCATTTCAAAATAGCCAAATGATGTTTAAGTTGGAATTCAATTTGGAGGCGATAGAACGAGGAGAAAGGTTTTCCATCAGAGTCAGACGAGAATGGAAGTCAAAATGAATTATTGCTCTTGGGCCAAACTCATTTTGGTTTTTCTATGTGCGTGTGTATGCCAGTGTGTTAAACAAACATAAGAGGACCAAGAAAAAAAAATAGCTGACATACAAGTCGTAGTTGAAAAGAAAGGCATTTTTGGCATTATCTTGCCAGCTATTTTCAACTTTTTCTGGCCCAAAGCAAAATGACTTGGAGCGAAGATGAAATAGCCTTGAACTGCACAGTTTGACGCAGCTGAGCAACATATAGGTTTTTCTTGTTTTGTTTTTTGGCCTATACATATATATATATATATATAAATTCTTACCTAAACAAAGGATTGTTAGACGATTTATGATGAGTATTCTGATATAATCTTCAATTAAATGCATAAGAATGGAACTTACATTTTATTAGTTTTAGGAAATGACCTCTTGTTTTATGTAACTTTGTAATTTACTTTTGGTGCCGTTGCACTTCTACTCAGAGACACATTAAATCTTTATTTATTTTTGTACTTTCAACACAAAGACATACAAACGAGAGGAATCTTTGTGGCTGTTGCTTTGGCTGTTATGACTTGTTTGGGTATTTTTCTGGTCTGAGAGACATTTGCATAAACCGCAAAATCTGCTTGTTTTGAATTAGCATTTTTTGTTGTTGATGCTGATGTTTTTTTATATTCTTCTTTTTTCGGTTGTTCAGGTCTGGCCAATAATTTCTTGGGCCTCTGGCTCCTCATCTCTGGTGTTTTATCTGGCCTTTGGGCGGTTTTATAAAGAAAAAACGAGCTAACTTGAATGTTTGTTATTTTATATTTTTATGTGAAGTAATATATTCGTGGACCTAAATCTTGGTCTGTGTTATTTTGTTTTTATTTAATATTTTTCAGACTGAAAAACATGCTGCTGGGCAAGTGCAGATAAAGAGGAAAGAAATTTTGGGGGAAGTCTTCCAGCTGGCAACTTGTATATTTATCTATATTAGCCATTCACTCATGCGTGACTCAAAATAGAATAAAAAGCACACACACACACAAAACTTTTGCCAGCATGCAAAAATTAGATAGGGGCGGGCCACGCCCATACGGATAGACAGACAGTGGGCAACTTAATAAGTTATCAATCAAATTTCGTCAATCGTTTCGGGTCAAAGCAATCAATTTGCGTGATAAAGTCAAATGCTTGGACAGGATTCGGTGAAGGATATCTTTCAACTCAACTACCACGCCCCCTTTGGCCCGTTTTGTCCCTTTTCAACCTTCGCATGGCCATCAGTTTTTGGCATTGTTTGTCTGACAGTTGTAAAGTGATTTGCTACGTGAATTGGGCGATGCCATTGGGATCGAGGGAAATGGTTTATTTTTGGTTGGAGAGATGGAGACCGAAGGTTACACCAGAATTGGAAAATATGATTTGTATACATTAAGAGATTTGTTTGTCAGTCCATGGACAGCCGAAGATGATTTATATTGATATAATGCATGTGACAGAAGATGTATTATTTTCGTAGTGTGGCATTGTCCGAAATGGAATACATGCATATATTTATGCTGTATTTTGCTCTAATTAAGTCCCTTGGGGAATTATGCCTTAGGTCTGTAAACTTTGCGTAAGTCGAAATGCATGAATATGGAAGTTGTTAAAATAATAAGCACAATCTACGAAGTTAGACACAATGAAAGTTATGCATTTACAAAATATAATATTTATTTTTAAATATTTAATTAGGTTTGCAATCATATCCTATATTTCTGTAAAGCCAAACAAAAGTAGTTAAAACATCCCCAAGTAATTTAAGACCCATTTAAAACATGACCCAAATAATCTAGCCCATGTAAAAGTAAAAGTATATGCAAATAAAACCTTTCCTGAATGAATCTAATAAATAACAGCAAAGTAAACAACCAGCAGTAACCATAAAAACCTAATGTTCTCCGACAATACAGTTCAAATTTCATATCTCAGTCTATATATAGTTCAACCATTTCGATGGCCTTAGACATTGAGACCCAATCACTGTTTGATGTCCGATTT